GTGCTGGCGAATTGTGCAACACCGATCTGAATGGCTAATGTGAAGGGTAGCGTCGTCAGTGCATGGTTTGGCCTTCGATTGTTCTCACTTTCCCCATGTTTCCTCCGCTTTCCTCACCCTTTGCTTATGTGCGCTTTTCCCTTTAGAATCCTCTAGCATGCTCCAGCTGGTTTTTCAAGCTCGGTGATTGTCTCGATATCTATTATCTATCTATATAGTTGTTGTCTTTATTCTTGGGGCAGTTTTCTATACCTTTTCTTTGCTTTCGAACATGTCCGTGTTTGGTTTCCTGTTCGCGAACTCCCCGAACTGTCCCAAGGTCCGCCAGACTCCTGAATTCGGTGAACTCCAACGGATGAAACGAGACACCGCTGGATGAAACGTTCGAAGTGGTTCGCTCGAATGTCAGGTGCACCAATTTTAAACCTGTTTTTGTGTACCAGTCGGTAACACAATGATCGCTATAGGCCTTTACTAACCATCATCATCCACTGTGAAGTGAATAGGATAGACCGATAGACCAAAGAGATATAGTTGTTAAATACATTTGGCCGGAAGAGAGTGGGCGAGTATGCGGAGCTTGCCAGGATGGCGGGCTGATTTTCATCAAGCATGCGTCTGCAAGGAGCGGCGGTGGTTTCTTAGCAAAGGAACAGCTCCACTTGACAAGCCATTCCACAATAACCATTCAGCATGCTACAGCTGCAGAGTATGGTGGAGGAATCCTTGCAGGGAAGGGTTTGCAGGTGACGAGGAATTCAACGCTCAACCTGCAAAATGTGAAAGCTGGCGCCCGTGGAGGAGGCATCTACGCCAACGAAAAGGTTGAGATAGGAGGAAGCTCAACGGTGAAGATTCTTCATAGCCAGGCAGTCTCTGGATATGGGGGAGGCTTCTACACAAAAAATGAATTCAAAATCTCCAATAGTTCCACCCTCATCATTCTGAATGCAACAAGTGGAGGACCCTATGGTGGAGGGTTCTTTGCTGAGGGCAAGGTTGCAATGAGCAACTCAACAGTCAATATTCAGCGTGCCACAGCAGCAGGGCTCGGTGGAGGTTTCCTTGCAAATGACCAGCTTGTGATTTCTGAAATGTCAAATGTGAGCGTTTCTGATGCAAAAGCAGGAATTCAAGGAGGAGGTTTCCAGGTGCAGAAGCGTTGTCGAATCACAGACTCAAACCTCAACCTTCAAAATGTGAGAGCTGGCAAAAATGGAGGAGGCTTCATTTCCATTGGAGAGGTTGAGATAGCTGGGAGCACAGTGAAGATTTCCAACAGCCATGTAGTCACTGGAGCTGGGGGAGGTTTTGCCGCTACCAAAGATGTGAAAATCTCCACTGGCTCCACCCTCGCCATTGTAAATGCAACGGGAGTATCTGGTGCAGGATTCTATGCTGGCACGGTCGCAATTGGCGACTCAACAGTCAATATTCAGCATGTCACGGCAGTAGGGCTTGGTGGAGGTTTCCGTGCCCTCGACAAGGTTGTGCTTGCTGGAATGTCAAAAGTAAGCATTTCTGACGCGGTAGCAGAACGGGGCGGAGGCTTTCGAGTGGACAATCATTTACTGGTGACGGGCAACTCAACACTGAAGATTCAAAATGCGAAAGCTGGTGATGGTGGAGGAGGTTTCCTTGGAGAGGTTGAGATAACCAGAAACTCAACAGTGAAGATATCCAACTGCCAGGCAATCTCTGGAGAGGGGGGAGGCTTCTACATAGCAAATGAATTCAAAATCTCCAATAGTTCCACCCTCATCATTCTGAATGCAACAAGTGGAGGACTCTATGGTGGAGGGTTCTTTGCTGGTGGCAAGGTTGCAGTGAGCAACTCAACAGTCAACATTCAGCGTGCCACAGCAGCAGGGCTCGGTGGAGGTTTCCTTGCAAATGACCAGCTTGTGATTTCTGAAATGTCAAATGTGAGCGTTTCTGATGCAGTAGCAGCAGCAGATGAAGGCGGCGGCTTTTGTGTGCAGGGAGACCTGCAGTTGATGAATAGGTCAATACTCAACCTTCAAAATGCAAAGGCTGGCACAAATGGAGGAGGGTTCTATGTTGTTGGAGAAGTTGGGATAAGTGGAAGCTCGACAGTGAACATTTCCAACAGCCATGCAGTCTCTGGAAACGGGGGAGGCTTTGACGCTAATGACCTAAAAGTCTCCAGCCGCTCTACCCTCATCATTCTGAATGCAACAGCTGGAGGCCGCGGTGGAGGAGTCTATGCTGGTGGCAAGGTTGCAATCGGCAGCTCAACTGTCGGCATTCAGCATGCCGCAGCAAGAGCGTATGGTGGAGGTTTCTATGCTAAAGATAGCATGGCACTGGCCGATGCATCTACAGTTGCCATGTCCGACACCTATGCAGGAGTAGCTGGTGGTGGGTTCAAGGTTGGCACTGCCCTGACTATCCACAATAGCTCAATGTCGATGGCCAATTCGACTGCCGTGCACACAGGCACCGCAGGCCGTGTGGATGGCATGGTGCTTCTTTCATCGCAGTCCAGCTTAGACATTCATCATGCAGAAGGCGCTGCAAACTCTGCTGTTTTGGTAGCAAGCTGCCTCCAACTACATCCTGATTCAAACCTAGTACTCGAAGGCATCGTTGGTGGGCATGGGTTTGATCTGCAAAACAGCGCCTGCTCCCCTCTTTGCAGCAACACCACGTTCCAAGTGGCAGATGGCGCAGCCCTGAATGCAACTGGTCGCTTGGGCTCAGGTCTTCTGTCAGTAGAAGCCTGCCCTCATGAAGAGGTGCGCCTCTCAGGCATTCATTTGCACTCTTGGAACAGCTCGCTCCTCACCACAAGCCCCAGCTATGTGGTCATCGACCATGTCGACATCCACTACCAGCCACCGGTCAACAATCTGCAGATCCTAGCTGCCCAGGATCTGCCAGTCTTGAACTGAGATGTTTGGCTCTTGCTCTACAGGGAAGAATTAAATATATATATATATACAGTACACGTGCATATCATGTCTGATATAGTATGTGCCACATGCTGCAGAAATATGGAAGTTCTCAATCCCTCCCATACTAAGTCATCCTTTGCTTTCAAGAGAATGTATTAACAAATCAACCTTTGCCAAGAAGCATTGACTCTTCAAAAGCCTTCCCTGCAGGAGAACTTCAGTATCGACTCCTTGGCCATTTCATGCCCGGACTGCCCGCAGGGAGTGACTTTCAATGCAACAGAGGATGGGACCTTGCAAGCTCTGAGCCCTGAAAATCTCCGATGCTCCAAGACCTTCACCGTGCCACTTGGTGAGAATATATGCTTGCTACCTCTTCTTGCACGTTATCGAATATCTCCTTTAAAAAAGAAAACATGTTTGAATACTTTGCTGTAAAAGAATGTGTTGGAATGTGACAAAAGCTGTTGCCATTTCAACCAGATTGCTGAAAAGTCCTGGCTGGCTTTCAGGTCAAATGGCTTGACGCCACGTTGCGATTGCGGAGACTACCGGATTCTATGCATCAATCGGTCATATGACGTCGTAGTTTTCTATACGTTTGGTTGTGGCTTTTTTGTTGATGAATGGCCTGAAGAAATCCCGCTAGCTTATTTGATTGCAGCGGACCCGGGTTTTAGTCTGTTGGCTCTCCTAGTGTGAAGGGGCACATGGTCAACTAGCATCATCTCAAACAGAACGAAGGATTACCGGCGAGCACTTCCGCAATACAGAACTAGTGTCTCTCGAAGACGTGTTCCAGACGTGCAGATTCTGCAACTCGCTAGCAAGTGGCAGAATGAAGTGGTTTTGCTGACCGTTCCATTGCAAAGGATGTTTTCGCAGAAGCTGTGCAAATCACAACTGCGATCAATCCTTTTCTTGGTGTTCACTGCATTCCTGAGGCAACAGACACTCTTACTTCCGGGATGGCGTTTGTCGCACGTGTGAGATCTACCGACCTTGGTCTGATGGCAAACGTGACGTCTGCCATTTGCTACCACGCGAGTGGCCAGAGCGTGTAATCCTATTTACGGGTGCAGCAGTGTTCGTGATCCTGACCTTCATCATGTTCGAGATCCTTCAGACTCCTTTGGTGATTCTTGATGCCAGGTCTGATTTGGAAGATCCTTCGGAAGTGAGCGCCAAGAGGATCTTCACCATCTCAGTGCAGGGTCCGATCGCCAGCCTTCCCAAGAGCATATCTCGACTGGTGCACCAGAGAGTGCATTATCGTGCAAGGGGAACTGGTTTGCAATGGCTGGAATTTGATCAACAAGAGCCGAAGGCAATCAAGGTTTGCAGCGTGGCACGGAAAAAGCTTTTGCTTCAAGATGCACACGTGCCATTTGATTGCGCTTCCTGCAGGGGTTCCCTGCACTCTACTGAGACTTGTTTCATTTTCACCCTCCTGATTGCCTTGGTATTTTTGCTTTCGATGCTGCCTACCATCATCAAAGTCGCAGTCGTATCCGGAAACAGCTTTGAACATACATTTGTCACTTGGATAATAACTGGAAAGAATAGTTTATGCAGTGTTCTGTAAGCACTTGTTGTGTTATTCTGGCTTTGTGTGTACCGTTTGGTGCCAACAGTCCCTTCTTTAAATCCCAGAAAAGGTCAGTATTGCTATCTATCTTGCTCTTCCAATGGCGGTGGTCGCTGCGGTGCTGCATTGGCCGGTGTCATGGCTTATCCAACGCCTGTACCGTAGAACGCCCTTCTCAGAGGCTTTAGATGACTACCAAGAACAAATTGACTGCAAACCTCATCCAGGTCCAGATGAAACCCATCCTCGCAACCAGGGCCTGTTGGTCCTTACACTGCGCGGATTGTGGAAGCACTTCGAGAGTTTCTTTGCTTTCGTCAGCTAAGTTTTCATTGGGTTGTTTCATGTAGTACATATTAGTATCCATTCGTTGTTCATTTCACAGGAAGACTTGGAAAGAATTTTGCCTTGACCCAAACATTTTGAAGTGTTAGTTCACATTCAAAACAAATCACTCGAATCAGGACGATCCTCCATGCACAGAGCTTTGTGAGGCTTCATTTTGGAGCAGAACATGCATTTTGTCGTGGCCAACATTGTAAGGCCCCTGACGCAGAGTAAAGGCGTGTCCTTCGTGACTCTTTGGGGTGGCAAGCAGGTGGACTACTTTGTGTCCCTTCGATCATAAAGCTGGCTGTTATTGCGCAAGAAAGTCAATCCCTTGCTCCTACATGCGTCAAAATGTTCTGATTGAGTTGTGCTTCGAGTTACCCGCTTCTAGAAGGTCAGTTGAATTGCATAAAAACAAAGGTGTACTGTTGCTTGAATTTCAGAAGTGCTCGGATCATATATTCTCATTTAGTGATACATCTGGCTAGGAAAGCACCTTAACATCCCTGGTTGCAGAGTAAGTGCACTGTTGCTTGAATTAGTGATCCATCCAGTCAGAGAAGTAGCTGCGGATGCACTTCGTTACTCTTTGATGGAGATAGCTCATCCACGTTGAATCTTACACTCCGACCCAGGCTCCAACGAAGTTGTTGTCCGATGGAAATAGACCAGTGCCATCACATTGGGCCAGTACCACACATTGGGCAGTACCCGTACCACACGAAATTTCTGCGCCAATCAGCCGGACGGCCTGGAAGTCTTTTTGGGGAAGGTAGGTCAAAGACTTCCAGAGGCAAATGTTTGGTAGGACGGAGCTTTCTACAAATCAAGACTCCACATGATGCGTCAAATTCATGCGCTCAGCCTGACAGCCACACGCAAATCCGAGGTCACATTCCTGGGGCACGAGCTTCTCTCACTTTGTGCACTCCATCCGCTGCCACGCCCTGTCCAAGGAAGGCCCTACATCTTGGATGGGCGCAGCCTATTGGATTTGTTCCTTTGTCACTTGGAACTGAACTTTGTTTCAGATGTTGTAAACGTCCTTGCTTTTCGGATCAGTCCAAATGGGGCTATGTATAGGTTTGGAATATCGAGAGGGAAAGAGAGAGAGAGAGAGGGAGAGAGAGAGAGAGATGGAGGGAGAGGGAGGCAGAGACCCAGACAGACAGTAGAATAAGCTCCTTATTGAGTGATATTGATACTGTAGCTGTAATTGATATTGTACCTGTACCCAATATTACTGGTAAGTTGTAGGAATATCAATGGTTACTTCAATTCATTCATTGATATTTGATGGACATCCTATGGTCCTATGGGCTTCACACTTTTGAGCCATTGATGGGAATGGATGGGTTCGGATTCGACGCCTCCAGGGTGTTCATTGCTTTCGGTATGTTGCAGCCGACATGCTCACTTTTCAGAAATGCATGTGTGATGTCTCCTGACCCGCAGCAATGGTGTCCAGGCTTTGTCATGCTTTCATTTGCGAACGCCCAGGCCAATAACCAGTGGAATATCGCAGCCGAATTGGCGGATGATCCGATGGATAGCGCTTTTGCTCGGGCTTTAAGGGGTGGAATTAAGGGAGTTGCAATGGTTTTGGATCGCGAGGTGCAACCGCTTACACGAGACTCGACAGCACAGGGAAAAGCACAAAGAAACAAGTTGCATTCTGCATACATTCCACATCAACTCTTATGACACGTGTTCAATGACCAACCAGCCACATGTCAGAGTCCTATACATGATAATGGGTGCAAACAGGTTTTAGGTTCGCGTGCCTCATCCATATATGCACCGTTCTTGCTTAGTTTGGTTTCAATACAGGTGTCCGATAACTTTCAGGTTTGCATACCGAGAAAACAAATCACACGGCCTGTGTTTAGAGACCAAAAAGCTGGTCCTACAGGTGGTTTCAAAGGTTCGATGGCACTGGCACCCAAAGATGTCTTTGACAAATGGGGGCCCTTCTAAACCACCGAACTTGGGGATTGTGCCGTCTACTCTGAATAACCACTGTAGAATAGAATTTACTGTATGACTAAATAGCACTGTCTACTGTTGGTTTACTGTTGAGTGTGTTTCATCTTTTGGACCTTTGGTGAAATCTCTCCTTACTTATTCAGGCCAATGTGGAATCATGTGAAATCCATGACAAAAACGCTGGTCTACTGTAGAAGCACGGACACGCTATAGGAGCACGGACCAAAACAAATCTCAAGAAAAGACCATCATAAGACTACCATCAATCATCCATTTCGAACGATGTAAAACCAAAGTCCAAACTAGCTATATAAAAGAGAACACACAGACAAGACACGTCTTCATGTGCGCAGAGACTGCTTCAGGAGTTTGGTGCTTGTTCGAGTTCCTCCTCTCCAGTCGTGAGCAGCTGGAGCTGGTCTTCGCGACTGACGTGGGAGTCGTAGGTGACGACGCTTCGGTCGCATTGAAGTGGCGCACAACGGTTTTTGCATCGTTGGTCCGGGCGGAGGCAAATCGATTGCAATTGCACTAGACTGTTTTCGCTCATCATAGCCTGGGAGGGTACACATGAGGGTGTGAGGGCACTAGACCAAATACTGCATTCAACCCTGACATCGATTGACCATGTTTGGTAGTCCATTTGGTCCATGTGGCCACGTGCGGGTCCACCATTCCATGAACCGCCTGTGTCACATACTGTATCAATTGTTTGAGGACGGGTGCACGTCCTTTGACATTGCCTTGGAAGTGGGCAAGAAGATCGAGTGCCTTCAGGTGTCGAAGTGCCAAGCATCAAGTGACGAAGACAAGAAGCTTGCTTCAACACATGGGGGGGGTAGAGGACACTACTAGGAGCAAAGGGCATCGCTACTAGGAGCAAGGAAGCTTGCTTCAACACATTGGAGAGGGGGTCACGGAGCAGTTCTGTTTGCCGCAAGGGGTCAGTGAAAAGTTTGTACAGGGATGAGGCATCCATGAAAGATGCATGTGTGAAAAATGTTTTCAGAGTACCAAGGTCGGTTCTTGGCTCAGTCTTCCAAAGTGTTTTTTGGCAGGGTGCTAATGTTGTTCTTTATGATTGCTTCGCCAGGCTGAGGTGCAGTAACAGACATGTGCAAGTCATTGGAAACAAGTTTCCTATGTGGGACCACAGGATTTTGGTCGGCTCGGACTAGTGAAGGCTAGCTTGGACCACTGATTTGAGTGGTTTCTTATCTCTCTGAGTTACTCCACGAGGAGAAAAATCTTCGAGTACATCATCAACACCTTGGGCAGTTTGGAGAGCATGGATGGCCGGATCAGACAATTGATGGAAGAGATGCTGGACAAGAACTTGGCAAATGTGGAAAGCGCGACTGATAGCCTGCTGCACAGTCTAGGTCAAAGCTAACTATCATAATTAAACTCGAATCAAATTCTGCTTGGGTGCACCGTATTTTCCGGGAAAGCGCAAGAGTCGTGACCCCATAGGAAGCCTTGATTATAGCTTCCAAATCCGTTTTTGTGAGAGTACGCACAAGGTCGTCTCTCTTCCAATTTGTTTAGTGTTTTGACCCTACATGAGCAACCAGCCACCGCCATGTTTTCAGTCAACTGATGTCAACTGATTTGGCAGTTTCAAGTCAAGATCGTGATTACCTTTCTGTGCTCGATTTCTTCGTTCCTTCTATTGAAACCTTGTGATCTGGGCCATTCGGTGGCGAGAGAACGCTCGATGGGCCGAACTCGGGTGTTGCCATGCAGCAATGCCAAATTTTGATCGATGAAGTTCGATGATGAACATGTTGAAAAAGAAAAAGAAACACGTGAAACACAAGACTTTTCTGGGCACCCTGAAACCACGCCCAAGCCTCCGACGCGCGAAAAGTATATCTTCATGTTGAAGCACCACATGCCACTTACCACGATAGTCTGCAAAGAACACAGCAAGTCCAACAGTTTGAGACTTCCAGATTCCACTCACTAGTCACTAGACATCTTCGTCGACCTGACCCGGATCAGTCGAGGATTCGGCGCTTTCATCGCCGACGCCGGGGACCGTCCCTCCGGTCCGCCTCGGTCGGCATCGCCTGCAGGTCGAGGATGACCGGCGACGTGGCGAGGCGACGTGGGGTTCAGTTCTGGTCGGGAGACTGCAAACGATAGAGCGTTCGGTTGAATTGGTCCGGTTTGATACTGATGGTACAAGAGAAAAAGGGGACTTGTGATGAGAAGCTTAACTTCAACTGATGGTTGAGAATTGGCACTTTCAGATGCAGTTCTCGAGAGATCTGTACTGATGCCAGCTGTCCGGAATAGGTGTTGCACGGTAAGCTCGTGCTTGGTAGCCCCCTACCCCCCATCCACCAATTCCCAGAGACAAAATCCATAATGTGAACATCTTTGGAAGTTCTTGGTGGGCTTTTAGGGAGGTGCAGTGTCCTCCCCTACAACTTTGACCAAGTTTGGCCAAAGCCGAGCAGACCAATCGAGGCGAAAGACCGATCCCAACCGGACGGCCAGATGAGGCGATGGCCGTCGCCTCGGATCGGGACGACCTGGGGTTTTTTTGCCCCAGAGAAAAGGATCAGAATGGATGACCTACAGGAGTTCAGCCTACCCTGGTGTTCACGGAGATCAGGGTGCCATGGAAACACTGACTCCTCCGTCACGGTTTGGCTCGACGGCGAGGTGTCGCTCAGGTTTTTGTGTCTGGTGAAGGCGAGGTAGAGTCATGTGTTCGCCGGTGTGTTCACGGAAGTCGCGTTCACTGAAGTCTAATTAGGAAGATCACCGGTCCTCTTTGTTGAGTGGGGGTCATGAAATGCCTATCCAATAGTGCTGATATTTGGGTGCTAGTAGTGCAGGAAGGTCTGCGCAGTGAAGAATAAGTTCGAGAATAAAAAGAGCGCACCTGGGGAGGGGGGCACCGTCCATAGGATCGTTTTGTTGCCTTTTCATGAGTTGCTGTTGTGGGTTCCTTCAGATGCATGTGAATGGTGTTGCTTCCTAACGCAGTTGAGCACCCAAGCAAGTTTCTCGAGGCGGCATCGATGTCTTGCAAGAATAGGTGCTTTGCCTTAGCTGCAGTTCGGCATCGCAACACATGACAAAACAGCTCAACAAATACCGTCTAGAATGGCCTATGGGCCACAATGCACACTTTATAAAGGAATTAAATGCAAGCAAGGCTCAATCTTCATGTGCGCAACCTACAAACAAGAGGGTCTTGAACAGTTGCACTGATGATTGTGTTCTGCATCCGTCATTGCCCACATCCAAGTACAATCGGTGCAATGCCGTTGCTCCTCACGGTGTTGGCAGAGCTGCTTCTTTGCGCGTCCCACGCGCTGGCGGAGCTGCGGGTGGAGCGCGTCGAGTCGAGCAGCTCGGCTCCTACAGATTTAATGTTGTGTAATAATCGCAAGTTGTTGGACATGGGGGGCGGACACACTACCTGCAATTTCAGCTGCATGCACAAAATTCATGTCTATGTAAGATGTAGAATATATCATAGGGACCCCAACCGTTGTTGATTGTCGCCTTGTTGCTATGTTCAGTTCATTTGCCAGTTGATTGAGGTTCATTGTTGTGATCGCTAAGAAGCGAGCAACCCCTACGCTCTCCACAGAAAAAGTACCTCCTGACTCACCAGTATTTGTGAAGGCACTGTTTTCCCACGATTCGCGTCGCGTTGCCGTTGCCCACATGTGTGAGGCCACGCGGTGTCCCACGCGTGGGCCGATCGATCAGATGCCCGACCACTGCGAGAGGTCCCAAAATGGAGAGTAGAGAGAGAGGGAGAGAGAGGGAGAGGACTCACTGATGCACTGATTGATTCAATCGGATGCTGTTGAGGCTGACCTGTGTCAAGTTCTTACGATGTGTTTGAACACATGAAAGCCTAGAGCTACATAAATTGAATTCCCATCTCAGATGATGACGCGCTAGCCAACAAGTAGAATAGCCACCATTCAGCCAACACTCAGTGGAGTTTGCGTGTTTTCGCTTGTTTGGAAGGACTGTGAAGTCATCAGCTTCACAGATCTTTGTGAACGTCAGCTGAGTTCTGGTGAGTGCTTCAAGCTCCAGTGACTTGGTTCGTTGCGGAAGGAGGGCTGTGTGGAATGAATGGTGAGAGTGGTTGCAAATTGCTTCAGCCAGGATGGCATCACCATTTGTGATGTTATGTCTAGACTTGATTGTCATAACTTATCTTTTTCCCGAAAGCATTGCGAAGGGTTCTTCCGGAAAATCCCTTGAACACTGACACTTCGACACTTACACTTCGACACTTACACTTACACACACACACACTGAGATTTCCACACTTGCACTACAACATGAACGCTATACGTACCCCAGTGTAAGTGGAAGAGCGAAAGCATCCAAGTGCAAAGTATGCAAGTGTCAAAGTATGCAAGTGTAATGATGAGTATGCAAGCATGCAATGAGTATGCAAGCATGCAATGAGTATGCATGATGAGTATGCAAGCAGGCAATGAGTATGCAAGCATGCAATGAGTACTAAGTGTGAGCATGGAAAACTAGCACGGGAGATGTCCTAATGAAAAACATTTCCCCACTTTATAAATTCTCTCTTAAAGGCGGAAGGTGGGACGAACAGCGTCAACCGAAAATGCAACCCTCTGCGGAGATCGTGCGTGTCGAGTGCGCGAAATGCAGGCGAGAGTGCGATTTGCCGGCTGTGCGCGCAACCCTCTGCGGAGATCATGCGTGTCGAGTGCGCGAAATGCAGGCGAGAGCGCGATTCGCCCGGTGTGCGCACAACCCTCTGCGGAGATCGTGCGTGTCGAGTGCGCGAAATGCAGGCGAGAGTGCGATTTGCAACCTGCACGCGCAACCCTCTGCGGAGATCGTGCGTGTCGAGTGCGCGAAGTGCAGGCGAGAGCGCGATTTGTGAAATTACCGCGCAACCCTCTGCGGAGATCGTGTGTGTTGAGTGCGCAAAATGCAGGTGAGAGCGCGATTTGTGAAATTACCGCGCAACCCTCTGCGGAGATCGTGCGTGTTGAGTGCGGGAAATGCAGGCGAGAGCGCGATTTGTCAAATTACCGCGCAACCCTCTGCGGAGATCGTGCGTGTCGAGTGCGCGAAATGCAGGCGAGAGCGCGCTTTGTGAAAGTACCGCACAACCCTCTGCGGAGATTGCGCCTTGCTAGTACAACTTTAGTACACGGAGCAATCTTTGGAGCTGGAAGCGGAGAACTGGGGACTTTGTAGTACAACTCTAGTACGCGGAGTAGCCGGGGAGCTGGAAGATGAGAACTGGCGACTTGGTAGTACAACGTTAGTACGCGGAGTAGCTGGGGAGTGGGAAGATGAGAACTGGCGACTTTGTAGTACAACTGTAGTACGCGGAGTAGCTGGGCTGGGGAGTTGGAAGATGAGAACTGGTGACTTTGTAGTCCAACTTTAGTACGCGGACTAGCTGCAGAGCTGGAAGATGAGAACTGGCGACTTTGTAGTACAACTGTAGTACGCGGAGTAGCTGGGGAGTTGGAAGATGAGAACTGGTGACTTTGTAGTACAACTTTAGTACGCGGACTAGCTGGGGAGCTGGAACATGAGAACTGGCGACTTGGTAGTACAACTGTAGTACGCGGAGTAGCTGGGGAGCTGGAAGCTGAGAACTGGCGACTTTGTAGTACAACTTTAGTACGCGGACTAGTGGGGAGCTGGAAGATGAGAACTGGCGACTTGGTAGTACAACTGTAGTACGCGGAGTATCCGGGGAGCTGGAAGATGAGAACTGGCGACTTGGTAGTACAACTTGAGTACGCGGAGTATCTGGGGAGTTGGAAGATGA